GCTATCCGATGGGTGAGTGCCATGGATATATGTGTGCTCTATGTCCGTCAGAGCTAGCCTCGTCTTTGGCGGACACGGTGGTAGGCGTGCGCAATCCGCCAGAGACGTGTCTGGCTCTGACGCTACGCATGTACCCTCTCAGGGTTCGTATGTCATGGAGTATGGATGTCGCTTGCTAACACTTGCGTCACATTGCAGATGACTCGCACGCTCGACCCTCGCGTGGATGCCGTTGCCCGTCAAGTTGGGCGCGGTTATATCGACTACAGCCACTACTTGCTATACCTCTTGCGTGACCCCGAACGGTTTCCCCATCGGCCAGGATTTGATATCGCGCTCCCTGTACGTTCCGTTCCGACTCATATTGTTGCTGGCCACTGACGTCAACATTATTATAGCTCTGGGGCTTCGTGCTCAAGAACTACGAGCTCCTCAAGGTTGTGGAAGACGTTGTGTGGCTCAACCTGGCTCGTGCGGACGACCTCTTCAGCTTCTCGCCAAACTCGTACCGCACCCTCGGCGAGAAACTCGCAAAGGAGGGCGCCGCGCACCCAATGCCCACCGAGTTCGCCACACTGTATCCCGGCGGCTGGAACAACAAGATCTCGCAGCTGCTTGCCTTGGGACGCAGCAAGATAGCAGAGGCCATCTCGAACAAGCCCCCTGCCGTCATAGCGTACATCTCAACATCTGAGTACCACGCACGTCTCGCGGGTGTTGCACCTCCGCCACCGCCCACTGTCAGAAAGCCGGATACCCACGAGGAGGTCAGGGTCAAGATAGGGTACGAGGAGTTTTCCCCTGCTCTGCTGAAGGAGACACCGCTCCTCGCTGCCCTGAGGTTTACGGACCCGCGGTGGTGTGCGGACGCGCAACAAGGATCAAACAAGCCGAAGTGGCTTGGCGCAATCGTGCTTCACATCAACACGATCCTCGACATCATGCGCCGCTGGGCCGGTGACGTGTACTCTAACCCATGCGTTCAGCTTCTTCGCATCAAGCTGTTCCAGTTCCTCTCGCTTCACTCCGCGGCAAAAACCCCCTGGAAGAACTGGGACAGCGGCCTACTCGGCGAACTCTCAGGTATCGACAACCTCGACCCAGAAGACACTGACATGCTCGCTGCGGCGATCAAGGCGATCGATGCCGTACCGGACGTGCCTCTTCATGTCAATGCCCACGGACGTCGAGCCCGCGGAGCCCAGGGGATCGCTCGCACTGCCGCCGATGCGGAGGTGTCGCAGCCAGACGACGAGATCGTGTTTCTTCGGATGGAGGGAGCCGTCGATGTCGAGACCCGCCGCCTGAAGTACAAGACCGAAGCTAGTCGACTGGTCACCTCCATCCGGCGCATGACCTCAGCATCTGCAGGCCCTGCGCAGCCGAAAGCGATCGACGCGCGCGTCGTCAACGCCATGCAGGAGCTGCTCAATGTACGTCCACATCCGCGCTGCATGTCTGTGCACCACTACTGATCTGCGCACACCCTCGCAGGCGCTGTACTACAATGTCAATCGGATCGAGTACCGGTACTCTGTGGGGGACATTCAATCAGAACGGCCGTGGGTACTCCCGTCCGCCCCTTTCGCCCACACCCTCGACACCCCAGCGCTTCTCGGCGTCGTCGACAACAACGCGTTCCTCGACCTTGGTGACTTCAAGACACGGCTGCCCACCGCGTATACGCAGTACAGCGCTGCAGCGCAGGGGTCCCGGCGCAACAAAATCCCTCCGCCATCCATATCGCAGCTCAAGGACGGCGCACTCGTCCAGACCACCCGCGCTTGGCTGCCGCAAGATTTTTCCTGGGATCTGTCCCTCAAGGGGAGTCCCTCAATTTCCGTCAAGATGGAGGACATGGACGACGACGCCGTCATATTGGGTGTACCAGTACGCCCTGCCCTTCCATACCTTCTCCGCGACGCCTTTGCTCACCATTTTCTGTTGTTTCTGATTAGCGCGCGCAGAGCACGAACAGTGCACCGGACCTCATGGACGACACGGAGGATGGCGACCTCGACCTCATCAACAACGAGATGCAAGACGGTCAACCTGAACGCATCCCTGCCAGCGCGAAGGGCAAGGCCAGGGAGGTTCCCGCACCGCCCGTGAAATCGACGCCGGTTGCCCGACCGCGAGCAGCTGCGCCGAGGAAGCCCGCCAAAAATCCTCCGGCCGTCAATCCACCGCCGTCCACAAAGGCGCGCACGCCCAAAGCAGCGACCGCTCCCATCCAGAACCAGCCGCCACCGGCACTCGCGCGAGCCCGCAGCGCGAAGGCCGTCGTAACCGCTCCCGCACCCGAGCCGGTTCAGGCCGGCAACACCCTGCCAGTGCCCCCTCAGCGTGAACGGGTAACACGGTCGTCAACCACCTCTGCGAAGGGCAACACTGGCCCGCTGTCCGCTGCGCCAGCTCCGGTTGCGTCTTCTGCCAAGGCACGCTCCAGGACCGCAAAGCAGGCCACTAAGCCGTGGAGTACGTTTCTCCGTGGCACTTGCTGATGATGTACTCACTCTGGTTTATGTTCTCAGTGGACGAGGCTCTCAACATGGTCAACGCAGCGCAAAAGGCCGCTCCTCCACCCACGCAGACATTTGATGGTGTGGTGGTTCCGACCCTCTCGCAAGTGCACAACCAGTCCGGGAAGCGGCCGCGCGCGCCGACTGTGACGTCTCCCAGCCAGGCGCCTCGCGCAGCGAAGTTCCTCAAGCCTGCTATGCGGAGCGCCGTTCATTATGAGGATGAACATATCTTCGGCCCCGTGGCGACCACTTCAGCGGCGCCCAGCGGTGGCACACGGAAGAAGGCAGCGAGCGCAATCCCGAACGGCCCACCTCCCCGCGCTGGGACCAGCAAGAAGCCTCCCGCCGCCCCTATCCACCCCTCCGTCAAGAGCATCCCACCTGCGAAGGTCCACGGTGCGAGCACCTCGTCACAGCCAATGGCGTAGGCACGCACGCACGCACGCACGCTCGCTCGTCTCCAGCATCCAGTCGCCGTTCCGGCCGTCTCACAATGATGGATAAGTACTACGAGCCTATGAACGAGTCCGCACGTCCTTCTCGCACCCCTCATGTACAATGTACCATCGCGATTCTGTCACCTATATATTCGGTTACCTGGTCGTGAGCAGCGTATATACGTCTGTATATTGCTTGAGATAACAACGTTCAAAAACGCGCCAAAGCGTGCGCCGTGTCTGCCGCAAGAGGCAGCGCCAAAGCGGCCGACGTCTCTGCCGCATGTGGATATTAGCGCGGGCGGTAAGCCGCATGTGGTAAATTGTGCGTGAGAACCTTTGTGCTCGTGATTTGCCCTGACATGCATTCGCCTCCTGCCTCCTCTTCAGGCACCCCGGAGCACTGCGGGGGACGTCTCGCATTGAACTATGACATTGCGCGGCCGCTATGTCGACATCGGTAGGGTCTTTCGTCAGCTTGCAGACCGGCCAATCTAATTCGCAGCAGACCCCCCTCTGCCCTACTTCAGCCCATGTTCTGGTGCTCCTCTTGACATAAACATATACGCTGACTCCCCGCACGCGCTGTACACGCTGATCAGGTGCGTTGATATGCACTCCTTTGGTCCTCTGTTGCTTCGTTCATTTCTCCCTCTTCCCTCTCTCCACAACCAGCCATCATGCTCAGCGACGAAGAGGAATATGGCGGGCTCCCCGTGCCTCGGCCGCGTACGCACTGGACCGACATAACGCTACACACAGCCATTGACTGGTCACCTACCTCCCACGAGTGGGCCGCGTCGACCTCGCCCACGCCCTGCTCAGGCAGGTTGCATCCACGATTGCCTGTGCTCAACACGCCGCCTATGACGTCGGGCTGCTCTGAACGGCATGGGGAGGAGGGGTCTGTGGCCGGCCCGCCATCGCCTTCCGATGACAAGCTGGCAGCCATACCCATGGTTGTTGACGTTCCGGTGCGTTTGTCTCAGTTGTCCTACGCGCGGCGTTTTCCTGAAGTTTGACCTGCAGCCAGCCCAACCCTACAGCTCCGATCTGCGCACGTTGCTTACTCAGCTTGACGTGTATCGCACCGAATACGGCGACAGGGAAGAGGTCCACTATCGCGCACGGGCCGATGCATTTCTTGGGTGCGCTCTGGTTGACCTCAACGACGACGACTTCCTCGCCCACGCCGCGTGGGGCGTCTACGATGACCGCAAATACCCTCAGGATGTGGAGGTTTCCAGGCTCGCATTGCAATTTGCCGAAGTGGGCCGACAACACGCGTATTTCCCCCTCGATGCCGCGCTCGATCCGTCCTGGATCGAAAACGGTTCGATCTTGACACACATGAACGGTCTCGGGGGCTCAATCCCGCTTCTGCGTCTGCACTACGACGCGATGGGTATGCACAGAGTGCAGTTCTTCAACGGCAGTAACCGGCGCAAGGCTTGCCAAGTCTACGCGGCGTACTTTCGCGTTCGTCAGCGCAAAGTGACGGCCGCTTTGGAGACTTTGACGACTTCGGAACCACCAGATTCCGCCATTTTGCAGACACTCCAACGTCACCGAATCGCTCTGGATCGACGTGCGGCCAAATCGGGAATGTGGCTGACAAGATTGTACAACATATGTGCGTACCCTCGCCTCCGCCTGTGCATAGCTCCCTGCCTTAAGCTCCGCACATTACTTAAGGGCAGATTCCTTCGCCGGTGGCAACACACATCTGCAAGAACCACAACCGACGGTGGCATGAGAGGCCCCTTGAGGAGCGCCTCCTTCTCGTGCTCGCGGACGTCCAAGCGCGTCGGAGCGCGTGGATCGATCTCCATGTCGACCAATGTGTACCGGAGTTGGCGAGCCGTGTGTGGAAGGACGAATGCGTCCTTCCGGCCATTCCCCACGATGAACCGCAATCTCCCCTGATGCAGGCAATACTCACATCGTCGGTAGTGTTCCCCCTCCTCGACGCCTTCACACGATACTCGTACTTCCGCATCCCTGGAGACGGTGATGGACCATGGTGTTTCCTTCACAAAAGGCTCATGCACACTGCGCAGTCTGACAAGCAGACTATCGGATACGTACGTGCTCTCACCTCTCATTTGTGCCGCCCTGTTCATCTCAGATACCCGCTCTGTCGTAGATGTGGTCGCATTTGCTCATGTACGGCCTTGAGCTCCTCGACCTGTGCGCACGCACGACCCAGTTTGCAGCGTTCGACGACCCTGACGAGCGCGACCGCACCCTGATTCGATTTCTGAAGGTTGTGAAGGGCGCCAGCGCGGACGACGCGGAGCGCGCTCACCGCATCCGTCAGCAATACGACCTATACTGCTGGCATGCAATCACGGGGGGCACGCTCGCCGCTACTGTTTGGCCACCCTCTCTCCTGGACCGCGCAGATGACCTGTACAACATCTACTTCCTGCACAAAGCCACTGCCGAAGTCGGGACCGTCGGCTGGGATGACGCCATGAAAGCGTACAACGTTGCGCTGGAGAAAGAGTGCGCGCGCGAGTGGACGCTCCTGCAATACGCTGCACTGTCAGCAGACGAGTCAGAAGCGGCGGCCCACGCCTTGAAGAAGCTGCGGTGGATTCGCGGTATGGCCACCATTGGCGTTGGCATCAATGTACCGCTACCAACGAAGGCTTTCATCTCCGACTTATACAAGCAATTGAACGCAGTATCTGCCGCGGTCCGCTGGGTGAGTTTGATAGACAAGAACACCCGCAAGAGATCACGTCGTCTCTGGCGGACGGCCATGCGCCAGAGACGATGTCATCGCTGACGGCGGCCTATCCGTTGTATCTACGTGTCTGCTCAGTCCCTACCACCACTGACGTCAACTCCGTAGCTCACTAGACTCATTGATCCACGCGCGGATGCGGTCGTGCACGATACACGCCCGCAATATCTGGACTATACGCACTACCTGTTGTGCGTGTTGCGTCTCTCCGGTCGGTTCTCACATATCGGGTCGACCCTCTTTGCATCTCAGGTCAGCCCCTTGCCGGATTTCTGCCCGTAGCCACGACGATGGTTGTTGATGTCTTCGTAGCTTTACAACTTTATCTTCCTCAACATGGATCTCTTCCGCACGGTTGACCACATCCTGCGCTGCTCGGACCTCTCGCGCGCCGACGCACTGTTCACTCTTGGGTCGAAGGAGTGGTATCATATCGGAGTAGAAGCCATGCGCACGCATCGTCCCACGATGTATCCTCCGTTGGATATCCTTTATCCTGAAGGTTGCACTCCACACATGAAGGTCGAGGTGCAAGCTATCGCCGATGGCCTGCTCTCCTGCACTCCTCTACCCCCGGCCGCATCCACCCACTCTCCGGCCGCCGCCTGGGCATCTGCAGAGTCTCCGGTGTCTTTTGACATGCTCTCTGCGGACGTGTTAGCAGCGCATCCCTGTCTTTTCGCCCTGCGTCTAACCGATCACGATTGGTACGACCTGGTGGATTGCTCGATCCCGGTGGCCACGCGTAGCCTCGCTTTTCACCTACACTCTGTCTTCACCATCGCCAGAACGTGGGGTCGCGATGTATGGCGCCAGGATGCGGTGCGCTTCCTTCGTACAAGCTTCTTGGAGTTCTTGTCGCGTCGCGCGCATCCCGAGGGTGATCGTTGGGTCAACTGGGATGACACCATTCTTCACCTTCTAGCGGACGTCGACATCAATAATGCTGCGCTCGCGCCACCTGCTGATCCACCGCCCGCTTCTCTGGCTACAACATCGGCACCACTCGTCTTTGCCCCCGAGTCAGACAGCATCTACAAACACGATGCAGAAAGCCTGATCTCCCTAGTGCGGAGCCTGCCCTCCGCGATGGCTGCCCCCAAAGCATCTGAAGCGATGGACAGCCGTGTTGCTGATGCGCTGAAAAGCTTGCTCAAAGTAAGTGTGGTCCGTTCGCTGCGCGCTCCTCGCTAACATACAGTCATGGAACCCCAGGCGCTACACTTCAACGCCAACCGCATCGTCTATCGCACGCTCCGGGACCCGGAGGGCAGCCATCCGTGGGTCCTTCCCGAAGCCGCGAACCCGCCGGCGCTCGAATCTGTTCCAGAGTGTGACGATGCTAGAGCGTATCGTACGATCGACGAATATAGAACACGCGACCAGGCATCGTACGAGCTATTTCACACCTCCATCATCCAGCGTGCGGCTCGCAATATTGGCCCTCCGCCGCGGACCGTTCTCGTAAACGGCCAAGCCGTCGCAGCGACCGACAATTGGCTACCACAAGACCTGCCGTTTACTATACTTAGCTCAGCCGACTCCATTTCCAATCCACTCGCTACGCGTCCCTCTGGTGTCGGTGTGTTATGCAGCATTCGCACACCGCCTCCGTCCGTTCAAGCTGGCTCACTTGCTGCAGGTCGTCCAACAATACCCGCACGTAATGACGTGGATGCGCACATCGCGCCAACGTCCTGTTCGAGGGTGACGAAGGAAAGGGCAGGATGAACTCATGTACCACCCCAATATGACCTCCCGGTGAGCATGGCGACCCATTCTACCCGTCTGTCGCGACCCTGACTCGGCTGCGAGAGTGCACCCGCCATCACGCTGTGTGCCGCGTTTGTAGTGCGCTCGTCAAGTTCTGCCCGCCAGTGTGCGCCTCACAGTGTATGTATTCCCTTGTCCGATTTGTATTCACGTTAGCTCTCTACGTTAGAACAATCAACTTCGTTCACAAAGTGGGCCTTGGGCCCACCCTCCGCATCTCCGTTCTGAGATCAGCATCACCTAGGAAGATGTGCGATCTCCGAGACGATCGACGCTAACGCTAAGTGTTGCTGAGACACAGCCACCATCTTAAACCTTTGCCGTTTTAGCTTTCAGCCGCGAAGCCATTACCGGTGTGTGCGGCGGGGACGATCTTAGGGTTAGGGTTAGGGTTAGGGTTAGGGTTAGGGTTAGGGTTAGGGTTAGGGTTAGGGTTAGGGTTAGGGTTAGGGTTAGGGTTAGGGTTAGGGTTAGGGTTAGGGTTAGGGTTAGGGTTAGGGTTAGG